AATATGATGCAAGATATGACACAAGATAAAAATATATTCATCATCTTTGGCTAGACAATTCTCTGTGGATCCTGGCCTGATCGAAGATTAGTTGTCATTATGCTCGGTTTCTGACAACGTGTTGCCATCTTCTGATCTCTAGTATCGGTCTAAATCAGTCTAAACTCCATCCAACCAACTAATTCGCGATCGGCCTTTGCTTCTTCCTATGAGTGTTCCTCTCGTTAGCTTTTTAGCAATCATGTTGTCAGGCATTCGTAATATGTATCTGGCCCATTTAAGAGGCCGTGTTTTAGTGAACGTTACATCTGGTTCAGTATAACTTGAAATTAAATTTTTTGCGCCACTGCCCTTGATCGTTTATAGCTCCAAATATTTTGCCCTCGAGTATCTTACGCTCTAATATTTCCAGAAGTTGTCAAAAAAAGAATATTCCTAGAAGGTCTTTTATCCTTTTGCTTTAGAGTCTATGTTTCCGTCTTGTACCTTGTATGCGAGGCCGGCCTTAGCAGTGTTTTGTATATAATAATTTTAGTTTTTCTTTGGATATTTCTTGAGTAAAACTGTTTTTGAAATCCGTAGTATGTTCTATTTGTAAGGTTTATTAGTCTTTTAATTCCTTCGCTTGTTTTATTGGCAGTAGTCACTAGCGAGCCAAGGTATGTGAAGTTCGAAGTCCACACGTTTAAAGATATGACTTTCAAATGCTGTTTTTCGTTTCTTATTTACTATGGTATCCTTATTAATCAATATGTACTTGGTTTTGTCTTCGTTGATGACTATACCGATCTATTTCGCCGCCTTTTCAAATTCTAGAAAATATTGCTTAACATCTGGCTTGCTAGCAGCGTATTCTAAGATTAGTATCGATCTATTGTAAATAGTACCGCCTTCTTTAATTCTTGTGTCTCGGACTTCCTTTTACAAAGTAATGGTAAATAGGAGGCAAGCCAGGGCATTCCTTTGTCTGAGTACATCCTTTATCTTAAAGGATCGAGACATTTCTCCCTGTATCCGAACGTTGAAACATTTTCATTCTCTTTAATCGCAAGTTTTTCTGGTATACCAAACTGAGGCATTGATTGGTATAGTACTGTTTTCTTAACACTGTTGTACGCAGCCTTCAAGTCGACGAAAGGTAATGTATTTCAATGTTAAATTCTAAAGTTTTCTTGTCCAGTCTTGTAGCAGGGCGTCACGACTATTCTTGTAAAGTTCACTACAAATTTGAACTGTTCCTGTTGCTTTATTATTTTTAAGCATTTTAATGAGTTGGGAAACCTTTTCAGTGGTAAACGGTCTTTCGTTTTTGTCAAAAAATTTAACCCATCAGTTTTTGATTGAGTCCGTATTACCTAGGATATTTGCTTCTTCGTACCATTCTCGTGGTTTAACTTCTTTACTCATTCTGTTTAAATTTCTGTAGAACTTTCGAGTTTCGTTTTTATTTCTTAGCCATTTTATGTTTTCTAACTGCTTTTCTTCAAATTCTCTTTTTTCTTCTATGTAATCTTTTTTCTCTTTTCCTCAGGATCTGATATTCCTTATGCGCTCTTCTTGTGCATCTAACTTCATTTGTCTTTGAGTATGCTTTATTTTTGTTATCTGTTGCTTCTTGGCACTCCTTGTCATCCCGTTCATTTTGTCTAACTGGTTTGGTTTTCCCCAATATTTTTAATGCATTCTCAGTCATTATGTTTCTATATTTTGTCCATAGTTCTTCTACATTCGCTCACCCTTATAAAAATATAATGCTACTTAAAATATTTGGCTAGATATCGTTGGGAAAAAATAAAATAAAATGTATGATTTAGTCTATGAGACGTTTCGGTTTTTAAAGCTGATGGATTTTCCTCTTATTTCTCAAAATTCGTAATATTATACAAGAGTGTCGGAAACAGATTCTTATTTTATTTTCATTCTAATCATTCTTGTGGTCTTTCGAGAATTCTTTCATACCTGCTTATTTGTTATAATCATTTGGTCTATACCGTTTTAATTTGAATTTTTGGTTGTTATTACTATTGATTACTATGTTAGTCTTTTCCAATATTCTTACTTCTTATATTCCGTAATTTTTTTTACTATTTTTTTTTCATCAGCTTTATCTATACCTCGTTTAGAGTTTTCCCTGTTACTGACTTTTCTTGCGCGGTCAATATTTATACATGGATCTTTTAATATTATGTTATGATAAGATTAGGCTAGATTTAATATAAGTAGGTGCTTATCCACTCTTCCACTTGATCTACGAGGTCTTTTCTGGTTGATCACGAGGTTAAAGTTGTTGCTTCAGAACAGCCTTTCTAATAAAGTCTTATTACCTTATGTGACACTTCTAAAGTCATAGGACTCTAGTTAAAAATGTTGAAATTTATTGATCCTTATACTATCCAATCCTGGGCAGTTGTACAAAACGTGTTCCGCCGTCTCGTCATTATCGACAGGGTCCACCCAGTCCAATATTGATTTTTTTGCTGTACTTTTTTGTTATGCCAACGATTGGTTCTAAGCCTATGAATATTTATTTTGTCCCTCCCTTGGCAAGTAGTTCCGCTCAATTATTCCCTTTAATAACAGTATGCCTAAACATCCCTAGTAAACTTACGCTTATTCTTTTTCCGATTTAGATTTCAGATGAATCAGATTCTAAAGGCAGTTCCAAACTAACTAACTTAGAATTATTCCAATTCGATTTCATAGACTTTCACTGAAACTTAGCCTTGGTTTTACTCCGTACACCCCAGCTTTAATTCCTTTATTGGTTCTAAAGCTCTCTGTATACCAGCATTGATATGCCAATATAAGATTCGTTTCATTTCATTTTAATTCGTTTTTTCCGAGAAAGATTACGGTAAACAGCTTAACAAGATTATATTTAGGTTTCATGGCATCTGGTACCATTTCTAAGTATGGATGATTTTTATTTATCTTTCCAGACTTGATTCCGATATGCTGTTGCCCTGCTTTCTGGCGTATTATCCGCCTTTTATAATCTCCTACCTTCTTCTTCTTCTTTATTCATACATGTATTGGAGAGGGATCAGGCATAACATAGATATGAAGCATCTTTGTCGTTGAAGCTTATTTAGCTTCTTTTCGGTGGTCTTTTGTTGGTATTTAAACCATCATATTAGTGCGGCATTCATAATCGTAGGTTTGACTACTGCGATATATAGCCAGTACATCTGTTTGGGTTTTATTTCCCATATTTTTCGACATATTCTTCGACATTTTTAAACAGAAAGCTTTGATTTGTTGGCAATTCTTATCAAACAGACAATCTATATCAAGACGGTTACCTAGTATTACTCCTAGATTTTTCCTTTTTGTTAGTTTCTCCATTCAGAGCGGACATCGAGATGTTATCTAGATTCCTTCTGCCTATGAAAGTGACTACTACGGTTTTACTAGCAGAGAGTTTTTGCCTGTCGCACCACCTAGTAAGAATATTTAATGTACTTTGGAGGGAACTGCATAGAACATTACTATATTTTCTTCTTACCATAACTACTAGATTATCCGCATAGGCCTGCTCTTCTATCCCCTATGTTTAAGAAACGGGTGCAAGTCATCCACCAGGAGTGACTACAGGAGTAGAGATTTTCTGGTATGATTACGCCCAGTTATTCAAACGTCAATATTGTGACATTTTGATTTTTGTATGTATATGTTCTTTGGTTTCTGTTTATATATATTTTTTCTGTTCATTTTTTCTTCCAATCATAAATCTTTCAGTTGTCTGCTATGAATACTAGATTTGTATACAAGCTCTCTAATCTTACTGCCAAATAAGCTCCTATAACGTATTGTAGTTGCTTTAAATCTAATTTTATACGTGTCTGATATTGGATATCATAAAGGCTATTTTTATTTTATTCATCATCTATTTATCTACATTCGTCTTAGCTCCAAAATATTTGTAATTATTTACATTCTCGATTGTGTTGTCATTTATTTTAATAATTCTCACTGAAGGAAACTGGATTCTCAATGAAGAGCATATACTTGGTTTTATTGTCGGCATGCCGTAATCCATATCCGTATCTGGTATTATTACACTTCTTGACTTTGAACATTATTTAACACCAACAATATGAGAATACTTTAATACACTGACAACTATAAACTTCAAAACTGAAACTACTACTGTAACAAACTGTCAAAATCATATGTGTATATATATTTTTTGATGTTTTAAACTTCACTAGAAATTCATGAATTTTTAATGTCATCTTAAATGTTCTCGAAATATTTCTTTTTTATCAAGTGACATTTGCTATGTGGGATAAATCTTTCGGACCTTTAGTAACACTGCTTCCTCCATTGTAGTTATTCGGCTCGAATAACTGGACTATTAGGGATCGATTGAAGATAACAGGGCGAATCAGTTTCATATTATAGAGCTAGTATCTCAATATGAGCTATCTTGGGTTTACTTCTAGTGGGAAACTACATCTTTGATTTTGTATGTAGCATGCATGTCGGCCTATCCCTGGCTTTATCACTTTAAAGCTTTAAACTTTTAAGAGCAAACTCGCAGACGTTTTCCCAATTTTACTTTTCAATTCAATTCATAATTTAAAATTCAATTTTCAATGTACGTCAGAGATGAAAAATGTTCTTCTCAAGAAGGCAATGTTACAAAAATAATGTCTTCATTTCTCTTCCGGATTATTCATCCAGTTTATTCATATTCGGAACTTCTATACATTAACAAGAATACAGGAATTAAAATACTTTAATGTTTTTGATTATCAGTGACAGACATTTTAATAAAAGATATTGACAAACAGTTCTATTATGTCTTTTGACAGTTCGTGTAATTGAAGAGGGTGAGGCGTAGTGCGAGTATTCTTAATTCACATAATTTTCATTAATTCTTACCATATTAACATCTGAAAAAGAAAGAAGAAATTATTTATTTTACGTGTGTTTAATTCTTTTATATTATTTTTTTACGTATATACATTTTATAATAATTATTTTTTATATTACAGGAACTGGTGAAAATATCTGGCAAAAATAACATTATTGTTAGCGGATTATCTGCAGAAATCGTATTATCTTTGCTTGCAAATGGTGCCAAAGGAGAAACGCAAAAGCAATTGTTGAAAGGTTTGAGCTTACCCAATAATATAGAAAATGTAAATAAGGCATTCACTGAAATAACATCTCGTCTAAAGGTTAACACACCTGATTTAAAATTGTTATCAGCAAACAAAATCTATCCAGCTCAAGGCTTCCCAATTGAAAAAGCATTCAAAGATATTGCTGTAAACGATTATTCCGCAGATGTACAAAACCTTGACTATAACAAGCCTGCAGAAGCCGCTGGCACTATCAACGGCTGGGTTGAACAACAAACTAACAACAAAATCAAAAATCTCATTGATCCCACAATGTTGGATGCTAGCACAGTATTGGTATTAGTTAATGCTTTATACTACACAGGAAAATGGGACCATGCTTTCGAAAAATACAATTCTGCTGATAGATTGTTCCACAGTTCACCTACTGAATCCAAAAAAATCCCCACCATGTATACTGAAGCTTTCGCCAAATATGCATACAATTCCAAACTTAAGGCTAAATTCTTAGAGCTTGGATTCCAAGGCGGAAACGTTAGTATGACCTTTGTATTACCCGACGAAATCAATGGATTAGAAGCTGCTGAACAAAACCTGAAAGAATACTTGGCTCCTCAACAAATGGAATCTGCTAGAGTTGCCATCACTCTACCCAAATTCAAAATCGAGTCCAAAATTGATTTTAAACCCATCTTAAAATCGGTAAGTTTTTTATTGTATAAAGTTGTTTTAGAAACAAAATTTTAATATGCATATTTGCAAATTTAATATAATATTAGATAAATATTGTAGATAAATTATATTACATTAACACGGTGAATGCTTTCGCATTGAAAATTAGTGGTTTTCCCATTTTTAGATGGAATTTAGATTAGACATTAGAGATTATAATTGTTAGACGATTACCTCTAATCCGATCGCTTTGTCCAATTACCTCCATCAACTCACTTTTCTAGCGTAATCGTAAAAAACTTCAGACTTTTTAACTGTTCGTTTGATTCAAAATAATCAATCAAAAATTACCATGATACTGTTGTTATAGTATTATGAAAAATTACACATTAAAAATAGCATAACATTTTATTTAATGCCACTGAGCAGTTTATATGAAATATAAAATTATCTATAAAAAATGTATATATCATGTTGCACCTTTAAAATTTTTTCATTTTAATACCCCTTCTTCACAATTCTATAATGTTCAACCACTCTCTGCAAGAATTACAAAAGATTAATATTAATAGTATTGGTTATATATTAAAAAATCCGAAAAGTTGTTGAGTTATTCTAAAAAAATCTCTAAAATTGGTAGTTCAATTTGTTATTTGTTTTAATTTGATTACTAAACTAAATCATAAGCTATTTTCCAGATATAAAGTGACATACCCTTTTAACTGAAACTTTTACTTCATTAGCAATAATTGGTGCTTATCTATCTTTCATGTAAATCATTTTACACAGTTTAAATTTGTAAAAACCAGAGTTACATGTCATTCTACTAATATTATAAGGTTCTTCTTTTAAAAGTGCTATCTCACAATCGGAGGCTGGATATCATTATCACTATCTTCTCCATTTACCGCTGTTTTGAAGGGTTTTCTTGAACTGCATCTTAACCAGTCCCTTAACTTTTTTAATCATGAGACTTTTATTTTTCCTATTATCTTTTCTTGTATTTTCAATCTTAATATTTTATACCGCTATTGCTTTATTATGTAGGCTTCACTTATTTCTCGTAATACTTCCGTGTTCTATTTTATGTGTTTATTCTATGTTTATTTCTGTGATTTTTCTGTGTATTCTACAGGTCCTTATGTATTGCCATATTTTAAATTACTGTATCTTATTTATGTGTTCTTAAAATATTTATAAGGTTATAGAACATAAATTAAATTATTTTGAGTACTTGTTGAGTATTGTTGAGTACAGTACTCAACCAGTTCACCACAAGCAGTGACCACAGAATTATACGAGCGAAAGTCTAAATCAACACAAAAAGAGAAAGAAACATAAATATTAAAAATAAATCTCATGGTATCTGGACACCCCCATTAAATATCAACCAATATTAGGCACATATCAATAATAAGCTACTACTGCATGAAACCTTCGAGAACGATCTTAAAGACTTGAATAATTGCATCACAAACGCCTACAAGAAAGTAACAGAGTGCACTGCCCTAAAAGAAAATCAGATAGTAAAATAAGTCCATATACTAAAACGCTGCTAGATCAAAGAAGACAAATGAGAAGAGATGAGAATGCACCAAGCCACACTCTGTGAGAAATTAATCACACAATTTAAAACTGATAGTATTAAACGTACTCTACAGGAAAATAACAACTTAAACGTTCTACATAGAAAGCCAACGAATGGGAAATGCGAAATTCATATATCAAGAAACAAGCTAAATAAAATAATATCACGTAGAGACGAGTTAATACAGGTCGTTGAAGAGTTCTACGAGGAATTATATGGAAGTAGACGAGAAGATCAAACAGACATACAAACAGCCATTTAAAAAAGATATGAATCAATGTTAAGAACTAATACCAGAAATAAATGTAGATGAAATTGTTGAATCAAGCCTTAACAAAAATAAAAAATAACAAGGCAAGAGAGAACTGAATTTTAATAAAAGAAGCTATCGTAAATTGAGGAGATATGCTATAAAATCAATTAATAAAACTGTTTGATCTATGTTTGCAGCAAATAGAGATACCCAAAGAATAAAACACTGCTATAACCATCCTTTTACAAACAAAGGAGATAGAACAGACCTACATAATTATAGATCTATTGACCTGTTAAACCACATATTATACAAGCTCTTCACTAGGTTAGTGACATCAAGATTGGAGAGGAAATTAGATTTCTACCAACCGAGAGAGCAGGCAGGATTTCTATCAAATTATGGTACCAATGATCACCTCCATACCGTAGAGAGGCTCATTGAAATATCTATAGAATACAACAAACCTCTTGTCCTCACTTTCATATATTTTCATAAAGCGTTCGATACGATCGAAATAGACAGCCTTATAGGAGCAGTGAATGACAGCAGGATTGATCATAGATATTGTAAACTTATTTACAATATTTACAAAAATGCCACTATGACTGTTGAGATACACGATAAAATCCGACCAATAAAAATAAAACGTGGGATAATTCCAGGAGATACATTGTCTCCGAAATTATTCATAACTGCATTGTAGTTTGCTTTAAGATGGTCAATTTCGACCACAGAGGAGTAACAATACACGGCGAAAACTTAACCATATCCGTTTCGCAGATGACATTTTCCTTATCACAGATGATTTAGGAGAAGCCACATTTATGTTAAATGAATTGGACTTTACATGTTCGAAGGTGGGTCTTAGAATGAACTTAAACAAAGTTGAATGAATGAACAAAGTGTTAGAGCTGGTGGAGAAATATACGTATTTGGGTTACGAAATAAGAATCAGCAGGGATAACCAAACTTGCGAAATCCAAAGACGAATTACTTTAGCGTGGGCAGCCTTTGGAAAACTGCGAGACACACTTAGGGCCAACATACCAATTAGCCTCAAAAGAAAAGTATTTGACCAATGCGTATTACCAGTCATGACCTATGGGGCAAAAACTATGACTCTATCCAAGGCTTCGAAATTGAGAGTGACACAGAGACGAATGGATCGATTTATGCTGGGAGTGACTTTGCGGGACTGAATAAGAAACGAAGATCTACGAAGAAGGATGAGTATTTACTTACGGCTTAAGCCTTAGCCCGGAGAGTCGGGGACTTTTCTAAGCTAGTAGGCTGACTATAAATTAAGAAAAAACTAAGCACCTATACGAAAATAAAAGGGAAAATGCAGAAAAAAAATTACGGGAGCACGCTAAGACGAATAAGTCAGAATATTAATTATAAGAACGTAACAGAGTTTGAGAACCTTAAAGTAAAAGTTACAAATAGAGGAGAGAAACAGCGAGAAACAGATAAGCGGTTGTTGGAAGGCACCAAAGTAGTAATGTCATTAAACGCACTGTTGAAAGCAAAAAACATGTCCACAACAGCCAAGTTTTGAACTTATGAAACAACAGTAAGACCAAGAGTATTGTGTTCATGCGACAATTAAACAAAAAGATGAAAAAAGTTACAGATTTCGTAAAGGAAAATCCTGGGAGAAGTTTTTAGTGAATTAAAGGAGGTTAATAGGCAATGGCGTAGAAGAACCAACCAGGAGCTAATGAAGATTTATAAGAGACAAAAAATAACGCAGAAAATTAGAGCCCAGAAAGTTGGGATATGTTTTACGAATGAAACAAAACGTCCTAAGAGTCCTGCAAGAGACCACGAAGGAAGTTGTTTGATGCCATCCGGATCGACATATAAGAAATAAAAACAAGAGTAGAGAGCACCTTAAAATGAAGGACCGTAAAAAGTGAAAAAAAAACTAGTCTAGGCCATCCAACCGATGGCCTATAAGGCCATTCTTGCTGTGATTTGAAAAAGGATGACTAGAGAAGTAATGAGATCAATTTGTAGCAATAATAATGTTAAAGAACTCTGAAGACTCGAGAGCAACAACTAACATACCCACAGAGGAAGCCAAGCTACTTAAGAAAAGGAATGCTAAACTTTTAGAACGTTTCATACAACAAGAAAAGTTTAATGCGAGTTACTAATGAAATAAAGTTAGTAGATATCGGCATAGCTCGCAACAAAGGACGAAAATATAATAAAATATGTGTATACGATGGAAGGCAACTGTATATACGTATATCTGACTATTGGTCGTTGTCTTTAGTACGGTGCAGCAAAGTTAAAAAAGGAGCATGTTAACTTTATCTGTAGGGACTAACATTGTCACAAATTGGTCTCATTGCTCCTGTAGTGATCTTTTGCCAAGTTAACATGCTCCTTTTCTAACTTGGCTGTACCGTACTGAAGACGACCATTAGTCAGAAATACGTATATAAATATGCCGATATCTAATAACTTCATTTCACTAATGACTAGCACTAACCTTTTTTTGTTGTTTTAAAGTGCTCTTAACGTTTAGTATTTCTTTCTTCAGGTAGCTTGGATTCCTCCGTGGGTATGTAAGTTGTTGCTCTGGAATCCCCAAAGCCATCTAATATTATTGCGACAAATTGGTCGCATTGCTCCTGTGGTGATCCTTTTCCAAGTTAACATGCTCCTTTTGTAACTTGGCTGTACTGCAATGAAGACAAGCAATAGTTAAAAATAAGTATATACGGTTGCCTTCCATCTTATCTTCTTCTTTTTGTGCCACTTCTATCGGAGATTGGAAATCATCAAGCCTATTCTGACCTTGTTTACGGCTGACCTAAAGAGTTCATTAGTGGTGCAGCCAAACCACTCTCTCAAATTCCGCAACCATGACATTCTTTTACGGCCTGGATTCCGTTTTCCTTCTATTTTTCCCTGCATTATATTTTGAAGTAATGCGTATTTATGTCCTCTCATCAGGTGACCAAAATATTCGAGTTTTCTTCGCTTTAGCGTTAACAAAATCTCTGGGTCTTTTCCTATTCTTCGTATTACTTCACAGTTTGTTATTCTTTCAACCCAATTAATCTTCAGCATTCGACGGTAGCACCACATCTTGAAACTTTCAATATTTTTCATGTTGTTCTGTTTGAGAGTTCAGGCCTCTACACCGTATAATAGCGTGTTAAATACATAGCCCCTCAGCATTCTTAATCGTAGAGGGATGCTTATATTTCTGTTGCAGAAGAATTTTCTCATCTTTATGAAGGTGGCCCTGGCAATTTCGATACGTCTTTTTATTTCATCTTCTTCATTTCGTCTTCCATCTTATATACATATCTTATTATATATTTTCTTACTTTGTTGAGAGGTATGCCGATATCTACTAACTTTTTTTAAAACTAATTTTACGCACATCTTAAACTGTTCATAAATATGTATATATAAAGTGAAATTAAAAAAGGTGTTTTAGTGTAACGATATTTTTAAAATAAATGATTGTAATAATTACATTAGTTTTCTGCATTACTATTTTTTCATGATTTCTAAGGTTTTCTTTATTGCGTATTTATAAAATTATTATTTTTTTAGTTCGGAATTACACAAATGTTCGAAAGCACTGCTGATCTCACGGGAATTGCCAAGGCTCCACTTAAAGTTGATTTTGTTGTACAAAAGGCATTTATTGATGTTAACGAAGATGGTGTCGAAGCTGCAGCTGCTACAGCAGGTTCGTAAATCTTTATTATATTTGGTGGTAAAAGATTAGGGACATTGAATAGCACGTTTTTGATAAAACTAGCAGAAGTGAACACTTAACTAAATACTTTATTACAAGATAATACTTGATATTATCTGATGCTCTTATACGGTATAAGAAGGTTGAAAAAAAAGAAAAGAAAATGGTATTTTAATAAATGTGACACTATATAAATCGTATTTTTATGCTATATTTAAGAAAGCAGTAAGTTTTTATTTCAAAAATGTGCCTGATTTGTATAAAGAATAAAAGTTTTAGCACTCATTTACTGATCTTACTAAATAAATAAATTTAAACATTATAAAAAATTTAAGAAAGTCTCCCAGACATTGTAACGACTATTTTGCTTACCACAGGGTAAGAATATGGGAGACAAGATTGGGCAAACAAAATAATCGAAACAAGTGCTTACGGACACTCAGTTGGTTGTTGGAGAGCTGGGTCGTGGATAAGTTGAAGATATTGGGGGTTAGATTGGGGTAACTACAAAAAAAAGAAATAAAGGGGTACTTATACAAATCTCTTGGGACAAACAGAATGAAAATAAACGGAAACACCTCAAGAAATTTAATATAGGGCGCCACTTGAGGTGCCCAATTATACCTATTACAACCACTAGTTGTAACTAGGGAAATAATTGTATAACATCAAAAATATAGAAAAAAATATCTTTTTCAAATAAAACTCAAAACAGATCAGAGAAACAAATTAAACATTTATTTTTGTCTCAAACAAAACAGATCAAAAATACATATTATAAAAGAAACATATCATATAACATAATACAAATAACAAAAACTTACATGTTCTTTGTTTACTATATTATGGCCAATTAGATTATCAAAAATTAAGGATCCTTCTTAATGAAAACATATAAATTTAAACTTATATATGAAATATCGTTTCTACATAATTATCAAATTAAAATTGTCATAACAAAAAAACAAATTAAACTTGCTGTCAGGTATCACATTTAATTTTGATGACAAAGAATGAAAGCAATTATTACTTTAGCCAAAAAATATCTGTCTTTACTTTGAAAAATTAATATATTGAATTGTTACCTTAATGTTTTTTTTTATACAAACACTTTGAAACTTTGCATCTCTGGGGAAGCTACTCGGACAAAACTTTCAAAATTGGAAGGCAGCAACCATCAGGAACTAGTTCTACACTCCAGGACAAAACGATAGGAACAGGAACTTGGTGGAAGAATCGAGCCGACTACGGGGACATCCTATATCATACTTCTTTAAATATTTAGTAGTTACCCTTTTCAAAACCTGTCTTATTACAGAGGGTAATTGTTCCTCTAACTAACAAAATTTGTCGACTTTTTTCTTCGAGAAGTTCTTCATCACTTCCTCTCAAATCTTTTACTCCATTCCCACATGTCTGCCCCGCTTGGAACTTAAATCTCGACTCCTTTCAAATCTTTTACTCAATTGTCACATGTCTGTCCCGCTTGGAATCTAAATCTCGACTTCTCTTGTCACATGTCTGCCCCGTTTGAAACTAAAATCTCAACTCCTTTTCAAATCAAATCTTGGTCTCAATTGTCCATGTCTGCCCCGTTTGGAACTCAAAAGTCGACTCCTCTTCGTTACATTTTACAAGAAACTCGCCAAAAATTTCCCTTCCGTCTTGCAGCTAACCTGTCCCCCAAACTCCAGAACCAAAACAATATCCCCTCGCTTGTATCGACAAAAAAAACAAATTTTAAATGTTCCTTTATTGCCTAAACAAACAAATATTCTTTTTTTGACCCTCGACTAATAACGAAAAACAACTTTAATATTAGGGGAATTCATGATTTATTGCGTTTTTAACGAAGAAAACAAATAAAACCTTTTTTTTTTATCAGGGGGCATCATAAATTTACATAATACAAATTAACAAAATACGTGCGTATTTTAAACTTGAGTTTTACCTGGCTTATAACAAAGGGTTCGATATTTGAATCTAAACACAGACAAAAAAACATCTATATTTACTTTTGAATCGGTAGAAATATACGCATTTAAAAATCTCGTCAAAAAAAACTTGAAATATTATTTCGATTGTTTTCTCTGGTAAAAACAACAGGAGCGTAACACAGAAATCTTTTCTATACACTTTAAATAAAAAAACGCTACAATGCCCCTTCTTAAAAGAAAAAACTCGGATAATTCTTATCCAGTTTTTGATAAAGGCAAAACAACAAAAACCAAATCAGAAGATGACCTCTTAACTGAGTCGAAACTTCTTAATAATATCTTTTAGATGATGGCTAGCATGGGATTAAACAACAAAAACAAAGTTAGTTACAAAGAATGGGCTAGCGTGCCATCGATCGCCAGACACTTTAAAGTCGAGTAGACTGAAATTTTTGACTCTACTATGAACTGTAGGTGACATGAGTTTCTATGCCTTGGGGGAAGCTAACCTTATGCCCTGCAGTGAACCTCGCTGACATTCACAGCAGTAACACAAGTGATTTGTCGGGCAGGCATAGCCATGACACCTCGTTGCCTAAACCAAGTGCTATACACAAATCCAAAATAAATTGCTCTACACTTAATATGTAGGCGTTACTATCTCCACTATACGCCTAGCGAGACAGGGAATTCGGCAACGGTTCCACAAAAAGAATTAGGATATAGACCCAAAATCTATATACCTACATATGACAAAATGTGATTCTCACATGTGTCTCCCAAATGGGTTACCTGAATTAAAATTATCAAAAGTGAAACAATATTCCGAAGGGATGAAATCAAATCAACATATAAACTCGAAAATACAGACATGGGATAGGATGAACTAATTACTTAAAGATGACATATTGTCCTCATCTGACACAAAAGGCTTTAAATCTTTAATGTGCCACTTACCAAGATCCGAACCATTTAAATCTGACAAACGATAAACCAGTGGTGACAATTTTTCCTTGATAGTTGCTTCAATATACTTTGGTGCTAGTTTGGACATAAACTTGTTGACAGCACAAGACAAAACCTTATTTCTTTTCCAAACTCTATCACCCACTTGAAATTGGACTTCTCTTCTACGTAAGTTGTAACTTCTAGCGTTACGTTCATATCCTTTTCGAAGATTAGCCTTAACCTTTTCAAAAACTTTATCTATACCTTTGACTTCTGAAGCATACATGTTACGGTCACCTGGAATTATCTCGATATCTTGATTCTGTTGATCCTTATGATCAACACCATAATAGTTTCCACTTAAAGGAACATGACGGCCATAATTCAGGAAAGCTGGAGTATATCCAGTCACTTCATGCTTTGCAGTGTTAATAGCTTGTCTGATCTTTGCTAAATTCTTATCCCAATCTACGTGGTCTTTAACATACGTACGTATTGCTGTACCAATGGTTCTATTGTTCCTCTCCACAAAATTACACTGAGGTGCATATACTGGGCTAAACCATACTTTCTGAACGTTATATCTATTACAGAGCTCAATTAAGAGAGGATTGTTCAGATTTGAGGCATTATCACAAATCACATATTGAGGAACACCAAACATTAGGAAAACATCATTTTCCAAAAACTCAACAATATTCTTAGCCGTGGCCTTTCTCAAAGGTTGGACTAAAGTATATTTACTAAACCAATCAGCAACTACTAATAACCACGTATAACCTTTCTTTGAACGAACAAAGGGACCTATCAGATCTATTGCAACTATTTGCCAAGGAAACTTGGCCTCTCTCTGCTTACCCATTTTACCTAATGGAGCATAATTTGGTGTCTTCTGAGCACCACAAACTTTACATGACCTGACAAACTTAAGCACATCAACACGCATCTGGGGCCAATAATATCTTTCCTGAATACGGGACAAAGTTTTGGAAAATCCAAAGTGAGCACACGTAGGTGGCTCATGACAAGACTTCATAACTTCAAACCTTTGTGGTTTGGGCACAAGAATTTTCCACTCTACATCATTAGTCTTAAAAGAATTTTTGGTTGGGGCAAACTTATAAACAAAATCATTCTCCACCTTCCACTGTGGAAAATCAAGGGGGGATCGGATTATCTTTGATCTCAAATTATCAAACCAAGGGTCTATTCTATCTACATCAACTTCTAAACAATTAACATGGGGACGACTATCAAAATCTTTCTTTTCAAAAATTGGGTTCACTGATGACCTGTAAGGTCTATTGGACTTAGACCTATTCGAAATACTACACTTAGGACAAGAAGATGTGATCACACCTTTATGACCACAACGCCAGCAAGATACTGACTTACTTCTACAGTCACGGGAAATATGACCTGGTCTATTACAATTGAAACAAATAATCTTTTTCAGATTTCTAGGGGCTTGATAAGGGACTGACTTCATTAATGGAGGTGGGGACGAAAAAGATTGCATCATTGGAGGTGGGGACGAAAAAGACTGATTTCTTATTTCAGTATTCTCTGGAGGACTGGGTCTATTATTCTCATATTTATATTTGGGAATGGGTCTCTTAGAAGAATTTTCTCTGTCCTGTCTGTCACCTACTCCACTTCTATCTTGCTTGGTTTGATTATTCACCACATGAACTTGTTCTTTGGGCTTTTCTGAATCATCAATCGAAATACCTGCAAGACCTTTAGTAGTCTGCAACAAGGGCAGGACATTCTGCTCTAAACGTTTTATAGTTGCTACTAACATTTCTACTGTAGCAAAATCTTGAAGGGCTATCAGTGGAATGTAGTCCACTAAAATATTTTTCCTGATTATTTTCACTTTTTGAGCTTCACTAGGATATGTTTCCAAACGTTTGAAAAGGTTTTCCATCACTGCTGAATAAATGGTTATGGATTCATTCCTTTTTTGCTTTCTATTTTTAATTTCATCAAAGAGATTATCATTATAATCTGGATGCAAAAAAGCAGATTTGAGTAGGGCTACCAACTCATCCCAACTATTAATTTTATCTCTAACACTCCTATACCAAATAGCAGCATTACCTT